TGTGCGTGCATGTGTGTGTGCCTGTGTGCATGCATGTGTGTGTGTGCATGTGCGTGTGTGTGTTTTGTGGGGAGTGAGCAGTCCTCAGAGCAGGGGCACTTGAGCTCATATATTCCACAATGTGACTCAGTACAGACACCTCAGTGCTAACTACAGATAGAAATAGGGAGGGGATCCATTTAGTCTGAAAGGCTGCCTTTGAAATGAAATAAGTAAAGTGGAAGGAACAACATGTGAATGAGGGACTACCCGTAAGTTGAAGTTTCAGCAGAAACAGGGAGGCCGGCGCCTCATTCCTCCACATTCCCTGACACCATCTCTCATCATTCTCTCTTGCTCATTCCCCTGCCACCCTGGCTTCCTTTTTGGACTTGGGCATCGGAAACAAGCACCTTCCTCTGGGCTGTTGCACTGTCTGAACCTCCCGTCAGGCACACGCTTCCCCAGATAACACTGTGGAACCCAACCTTTTTTATTTGAGGTCTCTGTTCAAATGTCACTTTGTCTACTGCTCTCACTTGGAGCTCCATGAAAATAGCCCTCCTTTGTGTCCACTAACCAGTTTCTCGCAAACCCCCTCCCCTCAACCTTTCCCTCCTCTAGTAACCACAGTTCTGATCCCTCTTTCTGAAAGCTCAACCTGCTATTGTGATCCTTCCTTCCTTGCTTCCTTCTTTCCTTCCTTCCTTATCTCTCTCTCTCTTTCTCTCCCCCTTCCTCCTTTCTTCCCTCCTTCCTTCTTGTTCATTTATTAATTTAATTTTAGTTCCCACTTAAAAGTGAGGACATGCGGTATTTCTCTTTTTGTGGCTGGTTTATTTCACTTACCATATGCTTACATTTTGTAATGATGAATAAGCTAACTATCCTGACTGATCATCACATACTGTACCCTGCTATGATATTCAACTCGGTACACCACAAACGTGTAGAATCAATTACGTTTCAATAAAAAAGCACTCCTATTCACTCTTTCATTTTTATCAGCTGCTGTTTTCTTTAGCACACTTATCACCATCTGACATGTCACATGATTAATTCTTTATGCACTGATAGTCTTTTTCCATCATCAGGCTGTGGGGACTTCTGTTTTTCACCACTCTGCACACACCTAGACAGTGCCTAGACTGTGGTTGGTGCTAAATACGTATTCCTAAAAAGCAAGAAAGAATTTCTCCATAAACTGTAGGAAAATAACCTCATCAGAAGGTGGCTGAGGGTGGACCAGAGTAAATAATTAGAAAAGGAACAGAGGAATCTTCGAAAGAGGACAAGATACATACACAAAATACATAAACTAA